AATGTGATTTCTTACCTGGCTGTGGTGGAAACAAGCTGCATGCAAACACTAAATTCTGCTGGTTTTTTGGGTTTTTTTTTGTGTTTTTTTTGTTTGTTTTGGTTTTTTTTAATGTTAAAGGGCAATTTTTTTAGAGGGCAAAAAGTCAGTTTTTATAGATAAAGTTTTATATGCTCCTTTTTCCTCACTTGATTTTCCTGCAGGTAGACACACACACAAACCAAAACAGGAAAACCTGACAAATTGATTGCATGACAACGGATTTATCTCTTGTTGGCTTCTTGTAATCATGTGAAAGTCATCTTAATGAGAAAGCACATACATCCAGCCACACCTTGCATTTTGCATAATCACAGGTTGCAGTCTTCATGCTTTCCCTCACTTTCATGTTGCTTTCCTCAGCATTTGCACCCTGATGAGGACATACATGACACTGACTGCTGAACTATCTCAGACCACAGAAGCCCTTTCAGTCTTGGGGTCCAAGCCCACGTGCAGCAGTACCATGAACTGACAGCACTGCCCCCAGCTTCTCCTGGAGCTCTCACCTCCATAGCATCTGCCAGGTCTACATGTGTTTGGATCTTTGCTGCCAAAACCCTTCCAAGAATGGGTCACTTCCATCCCTGACTCACAGTATGGGTTTGCTGATCATGAGTTATTAATGGACAGTGTGTTAGCCCTGAAGGTGGCTGGATACACACCCAAGGTGAAACCCCCCTAGGTTGCCAAGCAGTCAACTCACCCACAGGAAGACATTGAGAAGATACAGTAAGAGGATAACTGTACTCAGCTTTTTCCTCCTCAGAGAACCCCTCTAGTTCTCCTATATTGCAGAGAAGTGCCATAAAGTAGAACAGATAAGGGCTTGGTAAAAAGCCTGGGACAATGCTTAAAAATGCCAGTGGAGATAAAGAGAAAACACTGTGCCTTTCATTGTCTTCAGGGATTTCTACACAACAGATGTGTTGAAGAAAAGGCAGAGAACGGCCTGCAAGATTTTTGTGACCATTCCTGTTCAAGGAGATGAGAGAGATGCAAGTTTTACAGGAATATCTGAGTGTGCATTCCAGTTTGCTGAGTTTTATTGCTGCTGCTGTGCTAAGCATACAACTCTCCACCAAAAACGGGCACTTTTTTCATAAGCCTTAAACATCACTTAAGCGTGGAAGTAAACAGATTGATAAGATGCAGTCCCTGAAGATTTTTCCCAGTGCCTGAAACTAAGGATCTAATAAAGTGAAACTGGCATTAGAATACAAGTGCTTTTTCTTTAGAATGTCATGAAGTCCTCCAGTGCTGGCCCTGCTTAGTTTGCCTCTATGCATCAATGTTAAACATTAGCAAGTAATTTCAATGTAAGGTAGGAACAAAATATGAATGAGGCATCCTTGTACAAACAAAAACTTGTAGGCAGTATCTGTGCTACACAGATTGAAATAGAGGTAGATCAGCTATAAATGGGGTGAATAAAGAGGTATAAAGCATAAGCAATGAGGTTCACAGGAATGATGGCAAAAATTAGGATGTTTGCTTCACAGGAGTTCTTCCCATCTTTTCTGAAGGATTGAATTAGAAGGAAATCAGATAAGCAGAAAGCAAATTGTGAAATAAGGATGACTAAATAGGAAAGGTGAAAAAAAAGGAAAAGAACATATCAACAGATGAGTGATAAAGAGGTAAAGCAATCATTACAGAGGCAGCACACAGCACAGAGAGAGTTATACAAAAGCAAAACATTTTCCAAGAATCCATAAAGATTTGTTTATTCTCATCAGCTGGAGTCTCAGACTGGCTCCTTCTGGCAGTTTTCCTGTAACAGTAGTGAAGGAAGAAGACCACCACCCAGGTCTTCTTGCCCTAAAAATTATGTCTCTGTGTACTGAGGAAAGACAAATGGCAGACTGAGGTGCCTCAGTTGTGGGTGAAGGTGTATAAACCTATAGAGCATAGAAAAGTTTGAATCAGTTTGCTCTGCAAACTTGTGTATTAAAGACAGCAAAGTTAAAAATAAATAAAACCCTATTTCAAACATCGAAGCATGGTGGTAACACTATGGCTTTTAAATTAAAAAAAAACACAAACCATTGGTTATTAATCAATTGGCTAAAATTTCTGTATTGTAAAGTAGGTAAAAGACCTTTGAGGAGGTTGATAGCCTGACACAGAGTCTGGGAGAACAGGCAGCTGCAAAAGATTTTGACATCTATGAGCTCTGTTGCCTCTGGATACCCATGACTTTGAACCCAGGGTACCCTGTTAAGCCAAAAAAATAACTTGAGCAGTTATTAGAGAAGGGTAACAAAAAGAAACCCAGCTGGCAACACATCATGTTTCTGCCTTTTTGTCCATTTTAATTTTTGATTCCTGCTCCTTTTCTGTTTTCTTCATTTTTTGTGTGCATCTTAAGGAAAATGTCTAGCCTTGCTGTCCAAGATTGAATCTTTTTCCAAAGAGCTGTGAACCCATGAGAAGAAATGATCTTAAAAAACAAAAACAATAAAACTTTGCTTCAGTGGGATTAGTATATATTATGCTATGGCTGATCTGACTGTGCTATGTCTTTGCTTTTCTTCAGCCTTTCTCTGCAGTTAAATGCTAGATCTTTGAAAATCTGAAATACCATATTTGGAAATATCTGAAATCTCTGGTACCAGATAAGGAAGTCTGTACAGCCATGGTGCTCTCCAAGGTTAGTTAGTCTTCTTTAGACAAGTTACTCTATGCAGTGTTGATGTGGCTCAAAAGCATCAGCTCAAAGAAAAGATCCCTTTGCTACCTGCATTTTCCTTTTCTTTGCCTCTCTTCCAAGTGTTTTATCTCTTCTCCTTGCCAAAAAAAATTCACCAAAACCCTGAGTATTTAGAGTCACTCCACACACCAAAAATAATTTTCTTACCATCTCCATCACTATCTAAAAACTATAAAAATCTGATAAGGTGGTAAGAAGAAAAGAGGAATTGTTTAGTGAAAACTCAACTCATAGTTCTTCCTTTAGCACCTGACTTGACTTTGACTCCTGTATCTTCCTCAAAGATTCGAGGAATTTGTAGTGGTGGTTATTGATGATATGAGGAAGCAGCCCTCTCCAGCCTGATGGGAGAGCATTATGCCCAATCCATACACAAGTCTGCTGTGAAGCAGCCATCTGGACTGCACTCCCACCCTGACACCTGAGAAACACCCCAAAATCCAGACTCTGCATTATATCTCAATGTCTGGCAAGTCTGCCCACAAGAGAGGGAAGCCTGTAATGTTTCAGGCATTCACAACCACCCTTTTGTTGAATTGGGGCCCAGTGCCAGGATTTGTGCTATCTTCTGCTGGCATGGACCAACATTTGAATCCAACCCTTGATATTTAATTAAGAACAGTATTTGGAGCATCTGTTTGCAAAAGCAGTCAGAATGTATTCAGATAATGAGCACTTTGCAGCATGTTGTGAGACCATGCATTTTATTATTTAGAGCTTTCTTGGAACTCAATTCCCTGCAAATATACACAGGATGAATTAGAAATAGTCTAAATGTTCTTTCTTCTTCTGACCCCCAACACAGTAATGACTGTATGGAAATGGACACTGCAGAATCACACAGAGAAAATGTCTTGTGAGCCATCTGATAAACCTCAAATTGGAGCACTAGTTTGTCTAAAGAATTGGCTCAGGAAGTCAAATCACTTAAGCTGAACAGAAAAGCGTAGAAGAAAGGATGCCAGAGCAATAAGAAACAAAAAGCATAGCTTGAATTCCTTACTCGTTATTATAGCTTTGATTTGGTGGGGTTTTTACGGAGAAGTGGATGGTTCTTCAAACTACAAGAACATAATTACTGATCTACCAAGTGAATATGTTTTACTCTATGAAAGTTCTATAGAAATGCAATGAGAGTTGTTTCAAAGTACAGAACATTAAACTCCTACACTGTAGAATAACAGAAATGGTCTCAGCTAGATTTTATTTCTGATTATAGCTTTTGTTGAGCAACAGAATCTGATGGACTGTCATTAAATCAAGAACCAAAAAATGCTGGTTAGTAGATGAATAAACCCTGCTAACTCTCTTGAGCAGCTATTAGTGAATGCACTTTGACATCTAACTTTGGTTCTTACACTCTTTCTTTGTGAAATTGTGATGGGGACCTTTTTCTTGTGCTATAATGCATAACAGAAATGAGGAGCTGGTGAGTAAGGTAAAAAAATTTGAGATAAGATGTAAAGACATTAAATGCTTTCAGACAGGACTTTCAAGAGGAGGGTGTGATGATAAATGAGAGCTACTATAACATTTTTGTTAATGATAAAGGACAACCCATGATGGGAGTTTAATGGACTTCATAATGCATTTTATCAGATGTTTTTATGTTCCAAGCTGGTCTCTTCCACAAGGCTGGCAAGCTCTTTCAATATGCTGAGGGAAGTCCAATCTGCAAAGACCAACCACTTACAAAAAATGAGCGTTGATGAGGAGTAGAAATAAAAAACACAGGAAGACAGGATATAATGACTCCAGCTGCCTGGGTAGGTAGGAGGAGGGAGGGGCAGCCATTATCCAAATACAGTTCATTACAAGAGACAGAATGGAAGCAGAGGGCCAGACCTCTTGGAAAGGACAACCAAGGAAGGGATCTGCAGGCAAGAGAGTATGGGGCTGGCAAGTTTTTGGGAGCACTGAGAAGGGATCTGTGCACTGATGTCTGAGCACCATCTGTGCTGTTCTCCGCCTGTTCTCTGAAAGGATTGCATGCAGTGACAGCAAGGGGCTGCTCAGGTGGCTGCATTGCATCCTCAGCCTCCTCCAGGAGCAGGGAGAAGGCTGGTAAACGATGGTAGTAGCCTTTCTTTCTGTCAATAAATTACAGGCTGGGATGTGGCATTTAAAATGCTCTGCAGGAAGGAAGATGAGAGATCTTTATTTTCAATCATATGAAAATGCACACAGCAGTTTTGATATTTAAACTGGTGTACATTCATGGAGGTGGAGGCATAAGAAATTGAACTCCCATTAAGAGTGGCAGAGTACTTCTCTTCAAGGAAAATACATTATGAGAATTCAAATAAAGTAGCTTGTTCTTGAAGCTCAGGGATGAGCAATATGTAGAGCAGCTCTTTAGTCACAGATTTCATCTGAGGTTCTTGTTTTCCTGTATCTGAGAAACCAAAGAAAGCACCAGATCAGTATGTTCATATGCAGGCATTCCCTTTTGCATGCCACTGGTCTATATTCATGGCTTAATGCAATGGAAACATTCCCTTGCACATAAGGAACTATTTTATACAATAACATAGGTATCTGGGAATATAACTTCATACTCTATTGCCCCTGCATGGCTTGAAAGCTGTATTTACTGTCAAAGTCAAACAGCTGCTTCTTTAAGCAAATCATCATCCATGCTAAAAATTAGCTTCATTATGATGCAATGTCAGTATTAGACCTTTTTATTACTATTAGAGTTATTTGCTTACCATTTGTATTTTACTTACATGGACAATTAAACTATATCTGGTACTTAATTTGTTTCCAATTGGTTTAATTTCATGATGTGACTAGCATAACAGCATGCTATTTAAGGGTACACATTATGAAATAATAGAGAGGGAAGTTCATACATTATTTAAAGATCTGTAAAAAATAGCTCTCTTAATGTAATAAACCTTTTCTACTTTCTTTTTTTTTATATAAGCAAGCCTCTCAGTGACCATTTAGGCTACAGAAATGAAACTACTGCTGGGCATCTAGCCTCTAACCTTTGAAACATTGAAATAAAACAGATGGTTCCTAATAATAAGGTTCTTGATAACTCCCAGATTTCTTGAGATAGACCACACTACTGTTTTATAACTGAAAAACAAATGATAACAAAATGATGGATGAAGTGTTCCACTCCTCAGAAAACTTCTGTTCCCACGTGCTAATGTGTCCCATGAATAATGTGATTTTGACATGGGACTTACTGATGCTAACAATATAACTAAAGAAAAGCTTTCCAATATGATGAATCTCAGAATCACAGAAATGAGGGCTGTAAAGGAGTCAAAGAGCTCATCCTTTTGCTTTGTGGCAGAGCCAACAGACCTTTTCCATACCCAGCAGATGTTATTAAGGCTATTTTCTGGTGATAAGTGCACAGCCCCTCCAGGCTGTCTCCAACAAGCCTTTACAGTTAAACTCTTTTTCTCCTAACATGTAACCTAAGTCTTCCTTGTTGCATTTGAAGCCCTTTAGGTCTCATCCTCTCCACAGGGAATATTCTGATAAATAGTACTTCATTCCACCTCTCCAACCAACTTACACTCTTCAAGAGGCATCACATTCCCCCTTCAGTTCCTCTCCTTGCCTGACAAAATAATTCCAATTCTTTTAACCTGTGTTTATAAAGCACAGTGTCTGATAACAGAGGGTTATATGTTGCTCTCATCCACCAGATCCATCCTCTCCTCAGCCTGTTCTCCCACCACTCAAGAGTAAGTTTGACTTTTCTATTAAATTTGTGAGATATTTTAATTAGAAATGGTACATATTAATTAGCTGATGGCAATTCTTGTGATATGTAAACAATGTAAATGACGAAATAGAAGTGATTATATGCAAAACACCTCTATTTTTGGTTGACTTTATAGTGGAACCCCTTGCTGTCCAGTTTTTACCATTTGCACAGAAAGGATATGTTGTGACTTCAGTTGAATTCCTGGAGCTTCTGATGACTGTAAATTTTTGCTTTCTCTCCTTTAGTCAGGGCAGATAGTGCCATCATTCTCCCAGTGAAGATCTGCTAAAACAAATCTGAAGATTCAAAACCTATTTAAATTTATAATTCTCCTAATGTCAAAAAATATTTTATCTCATTCACGAAAACTGAGATGAGAAATAAGATATTTAAGGTAAATTAGCCTGTTATATACTTGCTTAAAAGAGATTTTCCAAGTGTATTCTCATAGAATCAATCAAAGAATCCCTTATGTTGGTTTTTCTGTATTGCATCCTACTGAAAGGGTTTAATGTAAGAGAAAAGCAGACAATTTTTTTTGTAGGTGTCTAAAAATAAAATACATTTGGGTTCTTATGTTAAAAGATTCTGAGTCTTCCTGCTTCTTAGAAATGTTAAAGAATCTGGACCCTAGTGGGATATTTCCAAGTGCTGATCTGCCTAATTTCATAAGAATCAAGAGGAGCTTGGTAGCTAAATACTTAGGCATTTTGGAAAGCCTCTTTAGCACCTGTCAGTGGTCAGGGCAGATGTCCAATGCCATTCTTTAAGCAATTAGACTGTTTTGGTTCAGCTCAGTGAGATGAAAGGGCAAAGGACCAAAAGACTTTTCTTAATAATTTCTTATGCCTTGATGGAGCATTTGGCCCAATACTGCTTTTGTTTTGGTTTTTTGTTTGTTTCTTTTTTTTTTCCCCCAGAACCCAGCAATACACTATACCTTACTTGGCAGATTCCAGAGAATTACTACAAAATTCATAACCTAGAAACATAAAAATGTAAACAGTAATGCTGAATGCTGCACTATGCATGAAAATAACTGATGCCAATTCTAAATGTATACTGCTAATCAACATAGCTAGATTTGTAGACACTAAAATAACATTGTCTTTCTTCCAACTAGGGAAAATGAAACAAGAGGCAAAAACATCTCACAACAGAAAACAAACTCAGTGTTGAAATAGGTCAGTAGTGCTTTCAACAGTCACTTGCTTATTTGTTTTTTGCTTTCCTTGTGCTACTGCCAAGAACAAAGGTCATATTTAATGACTGCCTAAATAATTTGCAATATTTTTTAGACTTGCCCTAGAGGTGGCTGATGTGGATCTTTTTGTACTTGGTAGGAAAGTCTCATAGATTACTGTGTTAAAGAATAGGTACCTTATCCTTCTAAACTGATCAAATCCCTTCACCTCCTCCAAAACACACAGTTCCCTTTTTCTTTTCTGTTTCATGTCAAATACTGTAGTGACAGCTCAAACAAGGCAACACTGTTTGTTTCAAGATTATAGAGGATTCAGGACATCCACATCACCTTTGAAGTAAATTTTTGAAGCCATAATCCTCTGCCAAACAGAAAAGAATATATGTCATCATAGCATCATTTTAATGACATGACCTTAACTAGGAGTCAGAGACAACAGCAAAAACTGAGGACCTAAGTATTCTCTGTCTTGTCCCTCAAGTAGAAAATGTCATGGCTTCATCACTTAGAAGTAGTGGTTTACCATCTCTGGTCTAGAAAGCGATATCCAACATAATCTCGCTTTTTTTAATGACAGGACACTCCTGGAATTAACACACTTCTTGCTTTATTATGGGCCAGTAATTGGGCAGTAAACAAAAGAAACAAAAGGAAAGTATGTTGTAAGAAAGAACTTCATGGTGAGGTGAAAACAAAAGCAAGAATAGAAGAAAACGGAATATTCATTTCATAATATCAAGGACAGTCTGAGACAGACTGTTAGGTTTTCCCATTGGTCCCAAAACTGGGGCACATGTGCCATGTTGAGGAGGGTTGGCAGTGGAAAGCACTGGGGCTCAAGATAATGAATTTCATTCCATCTGAGGGACCTAGATCATATTACAAAAGTGACCGTGTACTTTCTGTATTTTCAAAAATATCTCAGTAGGACAGAGGTGATGCCTACACCAGCATTATATTGATACTAAATCAGTTCAGAGTTTCCTTCTGTCCTCTTCTCCCATCAATAAAAGCGTTCCTGCCTCAGAGAATAAATAGGAGTCCCACATTTTTGAATAATTCTTTGAAAAATGATCATTGAAAACACAGATTAACTATTTCAATCTGTCTTGATGACTGAAACACAGTGTTTAATGTTTAGTGCATGACGATTACTTTTCAACACTGCTGGAGTTTGCCCTTGCTGTCATTTAAGTCCATAGCATCACAGCACTATAGAATCACAGAATCATAGAATATGCTGTGTTGGAAGAGACCCATCAGGATCATTCAATCCAACTCTTGGCGCTGCACAGGACACCCCAAGAATCACACCATGTGCCTGAGAGTCCTGTCTAAATGCTTCTTGAACTCTGTCCAGCCTAGTGCTGTGACCACTTCCCTGGGGAGCTGTTCCAGAGCTCAACCACCCTCTGGGGGAAGAATCTTTCCCTGATATCCAACCTAAACCTCCCCTCCTCTGCTTCGTGCAATTTCTTCAAGTCCTGTCACTGGTCACGGGAGTGAAGAGATCAATGTCTGCCCCTTCTCTTCCCATTGTGAGGATGTTGAAGACCACAATGAGGTCTTGCCTCAGTCTTCTCCAGGCCAAACAGACCAAGCGAGCTCATAAAGCCTCCCCACTCACTGATCCTGATGGGTCACTTCCAAATCTGCATATTCCATGATTCTATGATTCACCATCCTTGTGGCCCTCCTTTGGACACTCTCTAATGGTTTAACATCTTTTTTATGTTGTGGTGCCCAAAACTGCCCCCAGCACTCGGGGTGAGGCTGTCCCAGGGAAGAGCAGAGCAGGCCAATCCCCTCCCTTGCCAGGCTGGCAATGCTGTGCCTGAAGCCCCCCCGGACAGGGTTGGCCCTCTTGGCTGCCAGGGCACTGCTGACTCAAATTCACCTTGCCATTGCCCAGAACCCTCGGGTCCCTTGCCACAGTGCTTCTCTCTGGCCTCTTGTTCCACAACATAATCAAGATTGTCCTGTCCCAGGTGCCAAATCCAGCACTTTTCTTTGTTGAACTTACTTTGATTGGTGATTTCCCACCTCTCTCCTTTGTCAAGGTCTCTCTGCAGGGCCTCTCTGTCTTTGAGGGAGTCTACAGCTTCTCCCAGTTTAGTGCCATCAGCAGAATTTGTGTCCTGTGTCCAAGTCATTAATGAAGATGTTGAAGAGAAGGGGGTGGAGGATGGTCCTGGTTTAGAGCAAATTTGAGAGGAAACTTCCAAAGGGGTCCCTCTAGAAAGCAGATTCAAGCAGCTCCTTGCCCAACTGGTTTGGGAAAAGATTTCCTAGGAGAAAAGTGGAAAAAAACTTTTTATTTAACAAGCAAAGTATTCACAGCATAAAAATTGTATAATATTAAAAAATAAAACCTCTCACTCTCCTGAAGAGATGGCAAGTTCAGGAAGTCCTTGTTGTGGGGTGTAGCTTGCCCTGCTCAGTCTCTCATCAGTCCCTCCTGTGCTGAAAAATGCTGCATCCCTGGCCCTGGTGGGCTACAAGTGGGAACTCACGGTGCTTTTCTGGGTTTTCAGTCCAGGGCCTGGCCAGGGCCGATCAGTTCCAAGAAAAAGAAAAGCCACAGTCTGGGGAATTTCTCTGCCTCAGCTAGCTAAAAAAAAAAAATATAACTAAAAAGCAAAGGAGAGCTCTCTCCCACTGTCTGTGCTGCAGACAACACAGTCCGTGAGAAGGAATGTGTGGGAGCAAGTGCACTTTGCAAACAAACTGCTCACTTCTTTCCCCCCTACACTCTCAGAACCAGTCCTAAAGGTGCAGAACTCAATGTCCAGGATAAACAGAACAGACCACTGAGAATAAAAGCATCATAAAGTCACCCTAGGCCAAGGATGGAGCCCTGGGGAACCCCCCTGGGACAGGACACCAGTCTCACGTCACCCCATTCCCTATAACTCTTTGTGCCTGACCCATGAGCCAGTTGCTCCCCCATTGCGTAACACTGTTATCCAGCTGTTGCTGGATAATATTTTGTCCAGAAAGATACTGTAGGAGACAGTTTCAAAAGCTTTGCTGAAGTCCAAAAAGATCTACTGGTTTATGAGGTAATCCAAGTGGAAAGGTGCCTCTGGAGGGCTCCTGTCCTCAGGGCTCTAAGCAGTCAGCTTCTTTAAAACCTCCAAGGACACAGACTGTACAACCTCTCTGGGCAATGCTTTCCCATGCATGATTTGCTTCATGATGTTTCTTTATATCCAGTCAGAGCATCTCCTCTTTCAAGCTACACCTGTTTTCTCACAGGCCCTTGCCATGCACTTCCATGAAAACCCCGGTTCTGTTTCCTCAAAAACCTCCTTGTAGGCATTGGAATTAATTAAATGATGTGCAAAAGCAGAAGTAAATCCTAAATAGGCTGCAATTTGTCAACAGTAACATCAGATCTTTGTATCGGTGTCACCCATTTCCTCTCCTGTTAGCTCCCTATCCTTCCCCAGCATGCTGATCCAGCAAGGTGTGACAAACATGGGTTCAGCTGCAAGGACACTTGTAGAAGACCGCTGGCTCCCCTACAGTTTGTTAAGACAAACTTTCATATGCATAAACAGTCTCTCAGAAACATGGGTGGCTACAATGTCACATCTTCATACTTCAGTATTCTTCATACATCATTCTTGGCTTGGAGCTAGGATTAACCATCCTTATCTCTCGGTCACAAAAGCTGGAAGCCAAGCTTGAATTTATGTTTTAAATGCAAACTGATATTCTGAAATTTTTCCTTGGCCCGGGAGTATGTGCTGGTAACACATTAACCAATGTGAGAACCAGTAACACTGCATCTATACCTAGGCATGTGCTTTCAGACCTTGCCAGACAGAGGGAAGAGAGAACAGCTAGGCCTTGCATATGCTCTCTGTTTCCCTCAACAAGACCACAAACCAGCAAATCGTTACATTAACCTTAACTTGCATATCGAGACATTCCATTGAAATGATACGCTGTAGGCTTGTGATTAGCTATCAACAGATTGTCACTTAAATGTCATCCTCCATGAGTTACTTAAGATGAAGTAAATTTAGCCCAGAATCAAACCACGCCAAGGGAAGTTCAGCTTGTAGAAATTTGCTGCCCTATTCACTCTGAGCCACACTCATTTTTAGTAGTGTGTAATGACATGGGTAAAACTTACCCATATTTTGTATGATGGAGAAACAGAAAATGCTAATAATGATTTAATTAGTAATTTGTATCAACAATAAAAATATCCACAATTACTCTTATTAAACCCAAACTGGAAGACTGCTTTTCATTCCCAAGGGAACAGGCACACTACCAGATCATAGGAATTAGGAAGAAAGTGTTTTCCTGACTGCCTTCCACTTTTGTTCATTATTAATGCATTTTTCATCCTTAAAAAACATGACAAGAGATCCAAGTGCAAGAAGAAGATATGGGGGAGAGAGAGAGAGAGAGAAACTGTCTGTGTATGAACTTTTACTTACTAGTACTAGTCTGGCACTTCCTAACACACATCCATAAACAGTACTGGTAATAAATAGCATGAATCCTCAATTCGGAATTTGAAGTTTTGATTATAGGGGGCTCTTCTGAAGCTTGTTATACTGTTTCCAGCAATGTCCAAGGAATGGCATGCCCATTTCACGTCTTTTCTCTTGAGTACGGCCAAATTCCAGGTCCTTCTCACCACGGTAGAACACGTGTTTCTATTTCAAGGGGCATTATTATTTCAGAAAAAAAACCCAAAATTGTGGTTAACACGTGGTGGCAGCAGTGAGTAGCAAGGAAAGAATGATGAAATCGATACTCAAGCTTCAAGGAGCGTAAGGTATGGGCAAATTCCATAGAACTGCTGAGTCTTCCATGTGCCCATGTGTATATTTCTTATTCTTTATGCATATCTTTTCAAATCCAGGTGTGAGTTTTTTCTGAGGGCATTTTATCCCACTCTGTGTGTGTGTGTGTAACACTTCTAACGAGCAGTTCAGACCATAGGCAGGAACCAGATGATCCTCACAAACACGGGAGCATTGTAACACTTCTTAGCTGTTGCTGCTTAGCCTGCTCCCCAAGCCTAAGTAGCAGCAACTGCTCTTTTAATATCTAATGGCATCTCAGGGCTGAGGATGGGATGCTGAAGCCAACAGTGAAATGCAGATAGAAGGGTGTGCCTTATTATATTGGGGTGTCATGTCCTTGCTCCTCTTCTTCTAGCAATGAGAAGAAGGCAAACCTAATGAAGTTAAAATAGAATAATAAAATAATGTAAGAAATAAATAGTACTATAGAACCAGTTAAGCAAATAACAACTATGTTTAATATTTTCATAATTTTCCTTGGAGAAAAATAAATATTAGTTATCTGAACATTGTCAGCATTATGTCAGTGTCAGGAAACTTAATTTTGGAAATTACTTTATGACTTTGAGTTACATCAGAGCAGCCTAAAGATCAAGTATCATAGCACATCTCTGGGCTCTGACTCAAGAGGAGGTACAGTAAGTGTCAGGAAACATGAGAAGATTAGTATTTCTAGCTCATTTTGGGACCTGTAAAACTACATTTTCAAATGACAGGCTGTAAATAGTTTAGGAACTGCTTCATGAACTCATCTGCAGCCTGTGGAGCAGGGGCAAAGTAGGTGACTTCTGTGAGCTGAAGGATCTCCCCACCATAGGCTGCCTTTGCTCTTCAGTCAGTGCCCTGGGAAGTTAAGGAAGAAGATCAGCATGGATTTGCAGGCACACCAAGGAATTATGTCTATCCCCAGAAAAGCCATTAGCTACAACAGTAATTCCAAGCATCCCTCACCTATCACGGAATTAGTGTCATTAGTGAGATGTCCCTTTGAAGGCAGATGAGAGGATGGGAAAACATGACAGCATATTATTGTTTTATAAACAATAAACTAAGCAAAAGGTTAACATTTGTGGGTTTTCACTGATTTTATAAAAATATTAGGGACTGCAATTGTCATGGTCCACAAAGTGATGACAGAATTGGAAGCAGATGCACTCACAGCAACAGTGATTTCAAATAATGTGAAGTATCTCAGTGTTTCTCTGAGAGTGTAGAATTTGTAATAAGTGTGCATGAAGAAGGGGTGAAGAGTTGTTGAAACACAGCAGAAGTGGAACCATAATGGTAGTGATAGGATTTAATGTGGAAAAAAAAAATAGTAAGGCAGGACTTTCCACTGATGCAAGAAGTAATAGCCCAATAACGTAGACTCATCAGCCTTGCATTGCCATATTTTTATCCTGACTAATCATGTGCAAAAGCTATTACTCCTGATGAATCCATATTCCTGTCTGTGTCCTCTCATGATCTCTATTAACTACTCCCACCACACCCTAAAAGTGTCCTCAGTGGGATTTTATAGTAGCCTTAATGGTGTTGTTCACACAGGCTGATTGGTACCTTGGCCTGTGCTGTACTGCAGAGATGATTATAACATTGCCAGGCTGTAAAGACAAAGGGGAGGGGATGTAGATATTTTAACATATAGACTTTGAACCCCCCACTTGTTGCCTGAGAAGAAAGAGTTATCCTTGACGCAGCAGGGCTGTGTGAGAGAATGCAAGAGAGAAAAAGAGAAACCATACGGTACTGGTCCTGCCTGAGCCCAAAGAAATGCCCTACCAAGGCATCACTGAGTATTTCTGCGAGAGATCCTATTGGCCCAAAAGAGGACATGGAGAAAAGATGTTAGGGATCTGTTCTCTAAGGGACACCCTGAAATTTTGCTAGCCTGCTATGTTGCTCAATGCCTTCTCCTCAGGATGGAGCATTGCCTTGGAGGGAAACAGGGAGCAAGAAAGGATGGGCAATATAAATATTATCTGCATTATTAGCCTTGCATCTTCTGAAGAGGTGAATACAGGACAAGTAGAAAAGGGGAAAAAAACCCCAAAAACCATAAACAATCCAGATTTTCTACAGTTACCTGTTGCTTTCTCTGTGTTCTTAGCAGGATTAGGTTTGGGGAACATGTGGCATCACCTCCACCATGCAGCACATTTCAGTATTCTGTGTGGTTGTATGCTACAAAAATTTAGTTGCTGAGTGTGACAGTAGTTTTACAGCACTGTTAGAGGATGGCAAGAACCACGGGCCCATTGCAGTTTCATTAGCATAATTGGCATCTGCACTTATATGGATTCAGCATTACTGAAACAGTTTCAAAGGGACTGATTATGTGCTGTATTCCTTGGAGCAGTATTTCAGCCGGAGATCCCACTGGGATGGAGCAGACATGAAAAAGAGCCCTAAATTTTATAGTGCTGTGTCAGTAGTACTACAAGAAAAGTGTAGTAACTAAAAGAAATTTGTCACACACAGGCAATTACCAGCTTAATGGCTTTACATTGTTCTTTTAGATTTATCTTCATCAGTTCTCTGTTATAGCTTCCCTTGATCATCTAATAGGTTTGCTCCTTCCCTAGAAACTGAACTTCAGCTTGTAAAATGTAGTTACTGACTTTGTGATCTAGAAAATAAGGTGTAGCAGCACTGCAACAGCATTAAACTACGTGTTTCTGCTAGCAGCAGATTGTGTTCAGAGTTTTTTTCTTTTCCCTTTTGAAGCAAATGCCCAAATGCAACTATACAGCCAGCAGG